GTTCCACTTTTCAAATTCTCAAGATGGCTGACAGTTATTGGCAACAACAAGGGCAACCACTGCTCTGCAAACTTTCAAAATGAGCCATGGGATCTTATTAAAGTCGAGTTACTGCCAGGTAACGCATGTGTGCCATTTAGACCCTTGTTACATCTTGAAACGCAAAATCAATGGGTGTATTTGCCAATTCCACTACACAACTGTGCAGGATTAGAGAATCAATTTCAGTACATTAAATGCACACACGACCAAATTGCCTTTTTGTCCTTTGATCCTCTATCAATATCTAACATCTTCGACTAGGCGCGCTGAGAGTGACCGGCCATGAGGTGCCTCCAGCGAAGGCTGCGGAGTCAATTGGAGCTGCTGAGCGGAAAAGAAGTTTGCGGGAAAGATGTTGCAAAAAGATACAAAAGCTCAATCCAATCCTCCGATTCCCCGAAGCCAAGTGCATTTCCAATGAAACACCTCACGCGGATCCACCTGTCTCGGAGATTCTTGATTTCCTCTATCTTGGTAGGTTCTAAATTCTCAACACCAATGGTGAAAAAATATTCAGGCAATGCGCGAGATTCAAGAGACGCTCAAATGATGAAAGAGAGGAGCATCACGCACGTTATCAATGCTACCCGTGAGCAGTCCAACTTCTTTGAAGGAAGCGGCAAAGTGGAATACCTACGCATACCCGTCGACGACAATAGCACAGCTGACCTCATGCCCTATTTTAAACCCGCCATTAATTTCATAGGTAAGGCCTTTTTCTGCCCTTCTGGCCTAGTTACTATGCTGTCTGCTTACCACTTTTAGGCTAATCGTTTAAATTTTCCGTTGAGTAATCTACAATTGAATATCTTGTATGAAGAATTTTTGCGAAATCGAGGTCACAACAGTCGACTATTGCTAAAACGTTTTACAATCACTTGCGAATGTCTGCAATCAGATCAATTAAAAGGAGCTTAAAAATACCAACGTTGGATGTCTGTAACCACCTATAAATGAATTCAGCCACACCCAATTTGCAAAAATATTTGCTGAAATCGAAGTTCGACTGCGAGGAAGCGTCTAAGAAAGTGTTTTCAATGT